GTACGCGAGGCGCAGTGAGGGGACCCGGGCCGGTGGCGGCGGGGGTGGGGTCCCGGTGTCGGGCCGGGCGGCGATGTCGGGGTGCCGGCGCCTCCACTCCTGGCAGCCGCCCCTCGAGACGGCCTTCCGCTGGGATCCTCGGCACCGACCCTCGGGGCTGGGCGCACGCTCTGACCCCAACCCGAGTCCCGGAGCGGGGGGCTGCACCCACGACCCCAGGTGGGCTCTGCCAGTGATCCTGTCAGTTCGGAGGACCCCAGCACCTTGTCCTGGGCGGCCTGCCTCCAGGCTAGCCTGGCTGGGTCTGCCTCCTGCAGACGGACGGGGTCTGAAAAACTTCTGGACTGGACGGGCCAGAACTTCGGGGCTTATGCAGAGGGGCACTGCGGCGGGCGCTCAACGCTCAGGTGTACCTAACCTGGCTGCCGCTGAAAACAGCCTGTGCAGCTCCCAGGCGGGGTGTGTGGGCAGGGTCCTTGCAGCCCTCCCCCGCGGTACCTGCCCGTGGGCTCCCCTGAGCGGCTGACTCCGAGGGCCTTGGGGGTTTCCCTGGACGTGCCGGCGATGAAGGCGAGCAGAGCCCTCCCTCTGACTGGGCCTCCCTGGACTTGCCATGTCCTTTGGAAGTGAACTTGATCGGGGTTCCACCTCCACGCCCCCTTTTCCTTCTAGGAAAGCCTGTCAGACTGGTGGCTGATGCCCAGACTAGACGACCACCCCTGGAGCGGTCCCTGCGCTAAGGGCGCGAAGCACAGAAGCCACCTGAGGGCCAGTGCCAGAGGGCTGGAGGCCAAAGTGGGAGAGATGGTCACCTCCTCAGTGTCAGGCCCCTCTCCCCTGGTGGCCCACAGTGCCCGGGGCACTGACCCGGCTCACGGGCCCGTGAGCGCTGGTGTGGGAGGCCATGGCAGCAGCGGCCACATCAACAGCTGGCATCACCACTTGGTGCAAAGGAGCCTGGTGCTGTTCTCAGTGGGCGTGGTCCTGGCCCTGGTGCTGAACCTGCTGCAGGTCCAGAGGAACGTCACCCTGTTCCCTGAGGAGGTCATCGCCACCATCTTCTCCTCCGCCTGGTGGGTCCCCCCGTGCTGCGGGACGGCAGCTGGTGAGTGGAAACTGAAGATGTTTGGTTAAGAGCGATTTTCAGCCTCTGAGAACCGTTCATTTGAAAATCGAACCATCCGCAGAGGGGAAGTGCGCGTCTCCAGTGGTTGTATTTAGAGGAGGAGGGGGGAGAGGCCGGTGATCCGCAGTGCCAGTCTCTGGAGGCTGGAAGAAGCCCAGCGACTGGGGACCAGGTGGGGAGATGACTGGCTGTTTCACGCTTGTGCCAGGCTGACCGAGCTCCTTCCCTCTTACTGATCCGGCCCTGAGGACAGTGTTGGGGGAGCCCGCAGCTGTCATCCCGAGCGAGCTGTGCGATTGGCCGCTGGCAGAACTGGTGAGCGAGGGAACTGCAGTGCGATTGGCTGCCCCAGCGAACATGCTACAGCGCTGGGTAACTGAAAACAAACCGTCACGTGGGCCGAGTGGGCAGAGCTGCCGCCCGAGCGGCCTCCCACACTTCCTTTTTCGGGATGCCCGTGAACGTGCCAAAGCCAGGCCTTCCCCCTAAAACGCTGGGCTCCACAGATGAAGGAAAACAAATGCCCTGTTCAGAGTTTATATTGTAGTACACCTGGCCAGCCACAGAACATGACCCAGGGTTAGCAGTCTAAATTGTGGGCAGGCGGACTGTCTTTTTCGAGTAGAATTTCTTGGTCGCTTGGCTGGTTTTCTAAACTTGCTGCATTGGTCTCAGCTCAGGTCACACTACTACTCTGGTCACACAGCATCCACTGATTAGCAAACATCTGTCAGATGCTTTCTGCAGCATCAGCCCTCCCAGCTGTTGGAGGTACAGAGTGAGCACTGCCCCTGGCAAGCGTCCTGGTCTGGTGGGCAGAACAAGCGTGCACCTAAGTGACCGGCGGCGCTACAGGAGGGATGCCCTCCTGTTTGCTTCATAGCTGATGTTTATGGACTGCTTACCTTGCATTTTTATATGTTTTGCTTCCTTTCGTCCTTACAAAAGGACTCTGCTGTAGCTCCATTTTACAGACGTGGAAACTGAATTACAAAAAGGTTAAGCAACCGTGTCCAAGGGGACACAACTGACTGACAGGCCCACTGTTCTTAACTCTGCCTGCTCCCCCCCCCCCCCCGGAGTCTGGGTGTATCCCCTGCGCTGTGGAAACACGTTGCCTTCTCAGCAAGAGGCTGAAGTGGAGAGCTGTGTTCCAGCCGGGACATGTCACGGGAGGGATGCTGTGGTTACCAAGCAGTGGGGAGAGTGTTCTCATTTTTGTTCTTGGAAAGATAGGCTCCTACTTTGTTTTTCTAAACCCTTTCAGTATATGGCTATACACACTGGTGCTGTGGCCTCAAGGCCCTCGTGGAAGCTCCCCTCCCCACTGTACGATCGAACAACACTGATGCCAACTGGAGGCCCCCTGTGTAGGCACACAAGTAGTTTGCTTATGGATAATTAACCCCTGGCTCCATTCCTTCTGTGCTTCAAACCAAAGAACTGCGATTTTATTTTAAATTTTTCGAAACAATGATTTTTGTTTGTTTGTACTCGAGAACAAAAATGTAAAATTAGTTTTAATTCAAATATTACATTGTAGCTGATAAATCTTCTAGGAAAGGGAATGGTTTGAAAAATATGTTAATAATTGCCACGCAGAGATCACATCATTTTCAGCCGGTGTTCTCTAACGCTGCTGCCTTGTCTTTCTTCAACAGCTGTCGTCGGCTTGCTTTACCCCTGCATTGACAGCCACCTTGGAGAGCCACACAAGTTTAAGAGGGAGTGGGCCAGTGTGATGCGCTGTGTGGCAGTTTTTGTTGGTATCAATCACGCCAGTGCTGTATCCTTCAGTGGGTGTGCTGTCCAGAGCAGCTTCTTACGTTACACTTTGAAAGTTTCGTTACTTTTAACGAGTATATATCACATCATGTGCCAGTTGAACCATCTTCTTCCGAGTATGTTACTTCGAAACACGTTGCTCAGTTTACTCTCAGCAATTCTCACAATGGTTCTCAGAGTCCTTTCAGTTCATTTCAGGAAGCGGTTAACGCCAGGAACAGAGCGGACGTCTATTCTGTCCCTTCTCAGGCAGCATCTGTTGGATCCTCAGAGTTCACTTCGTGAATTCCCTTTACATTTCTACCATGTTTACATCCTTCCACCATGAAGACCTGGTTCCTGTGGCCCAGTGAGAAGTGGCGAGAGCATCACTCTTCTTGGCGGATCCTTCCAGAAGGTGGAGAAGCCTGTCTGCCTCTCTGTCCCTCTCTGGCGTGACCACGTGAGGCCCAGGGCCAGTCAGAAGTGGTGGCCTCTGGAATAGGGTTCTTAGTGGAGGGTAACTTCAGGTTCAGGTGCTGGCATCCACGGGTGGAACGCACGACACAAGACATGCTGCGTGTCTGTACACGGTGCGTTCTTCAGGAAGACGGGCCGTGGTTTACCAGGTCTCAAAAGATTTATGGTTTCTTTAGCACAACTAGATTATATTTTTAAATCCTGGAGAAAGTTATTTTTAGAGTTACTGCTTCTTAAATCTGCTCTAGCCTGATTTTAATGATAAGAATGTCAGAAAAGGGTATTATAAGAGGTCTGGGCTCTGACAAACTTGTTTCGTCCGCAGTTGATAAGCAGTGTTGTGATGGAAGCCAGTCGTGTCTCCACCAGCTGCGACCGTGTCGTGTTGGATGCCATCCTGGTGAGGTGTCTTCTCGCAGATGTGAAGCGAAGATTGTGCTTGCTCAGTTCAACCTACTAATAAAAACGAGAAGTAAAAGGGGAACTATAGATGACTTACTAGCAAAGTATATGCTGTTGGTTGAAATACCAGCAGAATTTTATATGTAGCTTTCAGGAAGTTTACTTGTAAAGTCAAGTTTTCGACCCAGGGATCCCAGAGAAGTTCCAGGTCATCTTGGTCACGGTAACCTCGTATCCAACAGATGCTCTCTGCAGCTCACCTGGCAGCTTCTACGGATGAAGAATTAATGTGGTGCACACATAATTGTAGGCCCTGGGGCTTTTTTGGGTTTGACCATATTAAAAATCGTTACGCCTTTCCTTAACTCTGCATTGCCAGAAATTGGATTTTGCCAATAACGTTCAGCTCTCCTTGACGTTAGCAGCCCTGTCTTTGGGCCTTTGGTGGACATTTGACCGTTCAAGAAGTGGCCTTGGGCTTGGGATCACCATCGCCTTCCTTGCCACTGTGATCACTCAGCTGCTGGTGTACAATGGTGTCTATCAGTAAGCATGTGCTCTCAAATATCACCTCCGTCCGGAAGCTGTTACTTAACTTTAAAAAAAAATACCTTCTAAGCTGAGATGTCATGTTTTTTCTGTAATTACATAGCATAAACTTAGACATGAAATTCTCAAAAACGCGTATTGTTGACTCACGTGTTAAAAATGCACCATGTGTAATTTAATGTAAAGGAAAACCCAGCAGTGGCGGTGAGCATGGATGTCACATACTAACGCTGCTGGTGCGCCGTGTGCCTGCCCCGCCTGCGCCGGGGGAGCTGGCTGCCCAGGGGCTCACGTCTCCTTCTCTCCAGGTACACATCCCCGGATTTTCTGTACATCCGCTCCTGGCTCCCGTGCATCTTCTTCTCGGGAGGTGTGACCGTGGGAAACATAGGACGACAGCTAGCCATGGTACGTACAATTGTCACCTGCGTGCCCAACTGTGGCTTCCAGCTTGATAGGCTTAGTGTACGTAATACATTATGATTGGTGTTGATAAATATCTAGTTGAGACTCGCAACAGTTATTCAGAAAAGTGTATTAAAAAAAATAGGTACAATACCCAGGTTACTCTTTGCTAGATTATAAAGATTCAGGGAATCGTAAGCTCACAACGCGCACTAAAAGGAACTAGATTTCCACTCACGTTACAGATGAACTGCAGCTCCTGTGATAACTGGCAGGGAAAAGTTACTGAATGGCTAAATGAATGATTTATAATGAGTTTCCTCCCTGCCTTCACGCAGGTACAGATGATGCTATGCTAGGGAAAGGACCCCAGGCCAGGCCCATGAGAGTGTGGACCAGGCTGGGAGGGGGCTCAGCATCCCTGGGTAGGTGGACTCCAGCCTGGACCCTGTCTAATAACTAAAGAGACACAAACGGGACCCCCGCACAGAGCCATTTCCCAAGAGCGAGAAAGACAAATGAAGTCAGGATAACTTAGCAGTTATTTTCAGGAGTTAATGATCGACACTTGAGCACTTTGATGAAATGTGGACATTTAACTGTCATTTTGAATAGACTTTGACTTGAAGACTTAAATAAAATGAACTAAAAAAAAAAGAAACTAGAATCTTATAAGGGCCACTTCTCTCAGAGACACTCTGGGGCTTTCTCAGAAACTTGACTTGGTTCCTCATATGGTGTTTTTAAAACCAAGACGTTTATTCGTGCCAGCTGATACTGGCTTGGGAGAGCCAAATTTGAAGGCTGCTTGGCTGTTTCATAAAAATGGAAGTAATTTCAAAAAGGTAGAATTTGTAATGTGTTCCACGGGTTCCTGAGCCCAAATCATCCTTGCCTTCCGCCCTTTTGTGACTCTGTGTGGATCTGCTTTTGCCAAAATGAAAAGACTCAATTGAAAATCCTTTCTTTATCGACCCCTCATGAGCATCAGAGGACCTGGCTCTTCTCACACTCACGGTGGCCACAGTCTCGTGGTGCCCCTGTGCTGCTCCCTGGAGCCCTTTCCAGTTCAGAGTAGAATGAGGCAGCTCTATGATCCCTTACTGCTTTGGGATTTTTATTTTCAGTGCCATTTAGTTGAGGATTCCTAATAGGGCTTTTGAGATAAGTTGTCTTCAACCCCCGTGACTCTTCATGGAGTTAAAACTGACAGCATTCAGCCAGTTGGTTATAACTTCAGGAGGCTGGGCTGATGCTGCCATGCATTTATGATGAAGGTTTTTAACCAGCTTTAGTCTTTTTTTTTTTTTTTTGCGGTGCGCAGGCCTCTCACTGCTGTGGCCTCTCCTGTTGCGGAGCACAGGCTCCGGACGCGCAGGCTCCGCGGCCATGGCTCACGGGCCCAGCCGCTCCGCGGTATGTGGGATCTTCCCGGACCGGGGCACGAACCCATGTCCCCTGCATCAGCAGGCGGACTCTCAACCACTGCACCACCAGGGAAGCCCAAGGGTCTTTTTTGATAGAGGTAGACACTATACATCATGCACAAGTTCCTAACACCTAGAAATGGTTGAAGATAACTTATTTTACAAGAGTGGCACAATCACACCTTTGGTCACGACACTGAATGAAGGTGGTTTTATCAGCGATCATTCCATCCTTGTTGTAGGCATTTTCGTTTTTGAAAAGATGAAAGTTTTAAACCTAACTTAAGATAGCTGGCATAATTGTAATTCTCCCTACTTAAGCTTTTTCTTCTTTTTCACTCTTTAAAGTTGGGGAAAAAACTTGTATTTGGATGTTACTGTTGTGTCTTGATACTGGAGGAGGGTGATGAACATCTCAGGTCATCAAAGGAAAACAACCCTCCAGGGTCTCTGAGCCCAGTGCTCCTACCATATTTACATCCGTGAAAATTTAAACCCTTACGCCTGGATCCCAGCTGAAGGGGGAAACGGCAGGCCCTTTCCAGCCGGAGGAGCAGTCACAGCTGGTTCTCCCGATTCCCCCTCTGGCTGCTGCATCCAGCATGGGTCCTCGGAACAGATGTGGTAGCGGGCACCCGCTGCCGGCTGCTCCAAGGGAGAAAAAAGCTAAGTCCCTTTTCTCCAGGTTTCCAAACCCAGCGAGGGCACAGTCAGTGTGAATGAAGGTGAAACAATCGCACATCACGTCACAGCTGTGTTTCTGCCAGAAGTCAGGCGAGCGAATGAGGGAGACTTACTCCTATGATAGTTACTTGAGGCCTGAGATTGAGGAACCAGGTTTAAGTAGTTTTAAGGGATCGGTCAGTTGGATTGTCAAAGGCGTGCAGCACTTGCTCCCAGGGTAGGGAACAGGACGGGGGGTGTGTAAATGAACGAAAGTGGCGATTTCTGAGGAGAACTGCAGGTAGTTTGGGGTTTTTTTCTCTTTTGCATTTTTAAAATTTACAATGAAAACATTACAGTTGACCGTTGAAGAGCACGTGGATTGGGGCACCAGCCCTCCGAGAAGTTGAAAATCCGAGTGTAACATAGAGTCGGCTCTCTGCATCCGTGGATTTAACCAACCACAGACCATGCAGCACTGTAGTATTTACCATTGAAAAAAATCCGCATATAAGTGGAACCGTGCTATTCAAACCCATGTTCTTCAGGGCCAGCTGTACTTGTATAACCAGAAGCACTAAGGTGCGTACAGGAGTTTGTGACTGAGGTCTCTGCAGCGGATGGATGTGTGTCAGGAGGTGGGCAGACCTGCTGCTGTGCCCTGTTGAGATTGTTTACGTGGAGGTCACTGCAGGACTCTGGTCCCTCTGCCTCTGTGCTGTCTGTTTACTGGGAGCAAAGCCTTGGCCTTGGGTTGTGGATGACAAAGCAGCGAATCAGTCCCCCCAGAGCTCCCAGACTCTCATCCCTACCCCAGCAGCCCCTCCCTGAGTCTGTCCAGACTGGTCTCTGCTTTTTTGTTTCTCTCTTCTTCCATCCTTCAAACGAAGGATGTAAACGAATCTACCCTGAAAGCAGTAGAGAATCTTAACAAAAAGTCCACCTTTGTCCAACAGGAATTGCATAGCCTTCACATCCAATTCCGCTAACTCTTGAACCTTTCAACCTACCCCTCCTCTTAGCAAATCCTCTGTCCACTTCGGCTTGAACTGAGGATGCTGCCTTTCTTGCCACTCCCATGGGTTGGCAGACGGCCTTTCTCAAATATGCTGGTGCAGCGGTAAAAGATAAGTGCATGAAGCCAAAATTGTATTTTTCATGAGGATAGAATTGGAAGTGTAGGAAATTAAACTAGCTTCAGATATTATATCAGAGCTAAGAATGAAAACTACATTTATAATAAGGTTTTAGAAAACTGTGACTCGCCATGACATTGAGTGTCCCTGCCCAACTGTAGTCTTTCCCAGGACTTTTTGTTGGGTGGGCTTTCCCCACCAAGCAGCAACAGGTGGACGTGATGGGCTGGAGGGAGGACACTGCAATAAAAGCATCTGCAGGTGTGGCTGCTACCCTCCTCCACCTGCCTGGCCACTCCTGTTGCAGATCCCAGTCACCTGGAGAAGGTCCCATGGGCCTGGGCTGCGGGGACCCTAGCATGTAAGCCAGGGGCACTGAGGCTCATGCATCCTAACACACTGGGGTGTGTGCCCTGCTGTTGTGTATCTGTGTCCAAGAATTGTTAACCTTGTTTATTCTCTTTGGGGAGTCTTGAAAGTTTAGGCTGGGACAGAGTGGCACCTTGCTAGAATCTTTCTCACCCAAAAAAGTCTTTAAAAAGAGCAAGTTAAACATTGTCTTTTTAAAGAAGGAGTTAAAATACATAAGCCAAGTCTTTATTTTCTTTCTTCAAAGAAAGGGAAAAAATTAACAGCTTATTTGTGAAAGTGAGCTTATTCTTTGTTAAGAATTTGAAAACTCATCTCCATCCTTAAAACCCAGGAAATGGCTCAGTGCCTTAGAAATCGGATTGGTCAGCAGCGCCCATTTCTTTTCCTCTGGCTGTGCCACTGGGCCCTTAGACAGAAGATGGATCTGAGGTGGTATTTTAGGGGCAGCATTTAAGAGTGAATTCTTGGTTTAAAACTTCACCAAGTAAGGCTTTTGTGGTAGGATGTGATTTGAGTGAAGACGACGAAGGTCTGAAGGTGGAGACCTTAGGTGGGCGCTGGTCAACACAGTGACCAGAGCTGCCCGAGTCCAGCGCGACGTGGCTCTGTTCCCTCTGAGGGTGACCGTCCCAGCGCCTCTGCACCCCTCCCCCTCGCGCCTTCTCAGTTCCCACTGCCCTTAAAAGAAATATGGTTACCGTCAAGGGCAGTCAGGTTGGCTTTGCTTGAGTGTTAAATGGTCCGAGTGGCTTTTTCTTTGTGGTATTTGTTGTCAGCCTGCATGTTTAAAAGTGAGTCCGTAGCATCATTTTATAGAATCTGTACCTGTTGCTGTTTGTAGCTTAAAGTCTTTTCTCAAAAAAAGTAAGGCTTCCAGCTGCCACGGCGAAGAGCGTGGCCCTGCTTCCTGGGGCCCAGGCCCCGGACACCTGGTTACAGGTGCACTTCCCTGGCACGTGGAATTCAGTTTGCCTTTCCTGTTTGCCATCCAGCGGCTGCTGGTAGGAATAACAACATTAATTAGCACTTCTGTTGCACTCAAGGTGTTGTGCTAAATAGTTTCACTGTCAGCTGACTGAGTCCTGTAACAGTAGTCTGGAGATAGGGACTGTTGCCAGCCCGCTTTAGAGATGGGGAAATCCAAACTCAGGAGGCTGACCACCTGCCTGAGTGGGTGCAGCGCAGGGCTGGAGCTGGGCGCCTCGGGAGCGCACGGAGCTGCCCTTGCACACTGCTCTCTGCTCCATTTGGCCGGCCGGCAGGCTGCTAACCCAGAGGTTAGAACGTGTGCTGGGGCTCTGGCTCCATGGCAGGAGGTGTGGGGGGTCTCTCCTCATGCAGCCCCGTGACCTCAGGAAGGTCATCTGGTCTTGGATCTGCTCCTCCAGTGGAACATCTGTCTTCTGCTGAGGACCGACCAGGCCAGCAGTGACAAGTGCAGGCAGGGTTCACCTCCCTGAGTTTCTGTACAGGTCAGTGAGGAAGCGTGTGTAGAAACGGCTCCTGAGCTGTTACACCCTCCACCTCGCCTGAGAGGGACAGGCCATGTTTTCTGGGTGAAATAGTGGCTCCTAGCCCTCCTAGCCCCGGGCAGGGAGAGGACCGCGGTGGGGTTGTTGGAGCTTGTCTGCTGCTCCTCATTTCTCGTCTCCATCATCTTATCCGACTCAAAGGAATTTTTTATCTTTCACTTTTTAGGATCGGCTTAATTGCTAATTAAAATATGTATACATTGCGCTTCCCTGGTGGCACAGCGGTTGAGAGTCCACCTGCCGATGCAGGGGACGCGGGTTCGTGCCCCGGTCCGGGAGGATCCCACATGCCGCAGAGCGGCTGGGCCCGTGAGCCATGGCCTGCGTGAGCCTGCGTGTTTGGAGCCTGTGCTCCGCAACAGGAGAGGCCACAGCAGTGAAAGGCCCGCGTACTGCAAAAATAATAATAATAATAAAATAAAATATGTATACATTTAGTGTTGAATTTCTCTCGCTCCTTTTTCTCTTTTTACATGTAGGGTGTTCCTGAAAAGCCACATAGCGATTGACTCTTCAAACCCACTGATCCTGAAGAATGGCAAGATTTGGGAGAAAATCTGTGATACTGGATTGTGACGAAGATTATCTTTTTTCCTCAATAATCTTTTCAGATTGGGCTGACTGTACAAGTGACCCCTGGAAAACAGTTCACCTGTTTTAGAGCAGCAGACTGGGAAGATGACCACTTGTGTTGAGATGGCACCTTGCCTGACGGCATTCAGGCCTGGGTCTGCTCAGGAGGCACCAAGTGCAGGCCAGCCGGCTGCAGGGTCCCGAGGATTCGGTTTCACGTGTCATTAAAAGCAAGTTGCCATATTTCCAAGCCTTGAACTAAAGCCTAACTACCAGCTCTGGTTTTGTATCGGCGCCCAGGGGAGAGCTCGATGGTGCTTACAAAGATGAAGTGTGATAAAATAGGAATATTACTTATCCAAAAGATTTCTAAAATAGGGTTGTGTAAAAAAAGAGAAAGGCAGGGGCGGCGAGCTTAGGGTGGCAGTGCCGGGCGCCCCGTCCCGCAGCTGCGCATGTGTCCCAGCGTACGGCTGTGCTTTTCATTCCTCCGTGGAGTCGCATGTAGACAATCTTACTGAGAGCAGAAGGCAATGAGAGGTCATTGTTCTGCATTGTGATGTGCTGGAATGTCCACCTCAGTATTTATGCAGTTTATCCAGAATCCGTAATCATCTAGGAGGGGCACCTGCCTGCCGTGTGTCTCAGTCTTAGTGAGCCAGAATCGTGTGTTGTTTCTTTGATACTCCAGAACAGAGATGACTGGTTTTTTCCCACAGCCCTATGGGATTTGCAATCTGTGATTGCCTTGTAAAAAGAAGAGTGCGTATGTCACTGTATTAAACATTTGGTGTTTCTAATACTCAAAGACGTGGTGAGCACAATGTATTCATTTAATGGCATAGACCATGTTTGTTAGACCCAGTTTGCAAGTACTGGGTCTTCAACTTCAAGTGCAATGTATATGAAAACCAACCTGAGCCTTGTATCCTCTTAAATATTTATTTTTTTAACGTATGAGGTGTCACAGAGGGCTCTCCATTTCAGTGCTGCATGGGGGCAGGATTCGGCAACAGCCCCTCTCAGTTGGGCACTTACTTCGTTGCTGTGCTCTCCACTGAGCCAGTCCTTTGAAATACTCCAGTTTTGTGCGTTTAGTAAACTTGTAATTTTTACTCACAAATTTACCTTTTTGTATTTTGCAATTTAAACGTTTTGGTTGTTTTACACTCTGTGAACATGGCTGGATGAAAAGACTCCTTCCCCCTGAGCAGCTGGCGGTCAGAGCCACTGCCAGCAGCTGTGGGCTGTGCTCTCAGCTCCCCTCACGTGATGGTCCTCGTTGCAGTTGGGTTTTGTTTTGAGGAAAATATCCTGGAGTAAATTTTAGGTTACTGTAGCTAATTTGTTTTAGAGGAATTTTGTTTAAAAGAAAATAGGATCATTCTGAACTTTGCAATGACCCCCTTACACATTTTCCTGAAATCACACAGCTATGTGAAAAGAGTTTTCAATGAGGATCAGCATTTTATGAAAAACCAGAAGTTATTAGATGAGAGCAGGCATTGAATCTTTCAAATATGCTTGATCATGCACAGTGAGTATTTTTTTCTCTTAAACTGGAAATAAATCTGTATCTGTTAGAAACAATGTAGCCAAAAGATGTGAATCTGAAGAATTTTGTTGCCAATACTTTATAGCAAGTATATGAACCAAAGTCATTTGAGTTTGTAAAAATGTAAAATAGTATGAACAAAATTTGCACTATACCAGGTTTGAACATCTAGTGGGATTCACATTCACACTAAGTTTTCAGCATTGTGTTCTTTTGCATTCATTTTTTACTTTTATTAAAGGTTCAAAACCAACCGTCGTATTTATGGGTTTTTCTTTAAAAAGGCGGGGGAATTCTCTCTGTAGGATATTCAGATTTGGAATGGAAGAATATTTTATAGCTTTTCAAAATGTACTAAGTTTCAACACAACCTCTTGGGAAACTTCGTTTTCCTCCTGGTGGAAAGTGACGTGTAGTTTAGCCCAGTTTAACTTCCTCCTGCCCCTCCCACTGACCCTGGGAAGTTGGGCGTCTTCTTGGGCGTTGCTCTGTCCTCTCCCAGGAATGCTATCCTCTCTCTGGGAGAGAGGGCCCTTTCTCCCTGTACTAGAAACGGCGGGGAGGTCTGGGCACCCAGAAAACAGAGCCCAGGGAAAGGGTAGAGCATCCGGCCCAAGTAACAGCCAGCATGTCCAGGGGCCGCGAGTGGCAGGCCACACGGCAGAGGAGCAGCGTCCTGCCAGAGGTTCACTTCCCTCGGTCCCTGCCGGATGTAGAGCTGCCCCAGGTGACGAAGGTGTCAGGGCCCCAACGCACACGCTGCCCTCCGCACAAGTCTGCTGAATGCGTGCTCTGCCAGCACCGGGTGCTGGGTTGGACAAGAGTCAGAACTGGCCTCAGAGGCTCTCATCCCAGGGCCCCAGTGCCAGGCCGGGGGAGGTAGGTGTGAAGGGCACCACCGAGACAGCGAAGAGTGGGTGCTGTTTGATTCTTTAATTAAAGAAGTAACAACTGTGCACAGTTTGGCACCCAGAGCAGCCCGAGAAGCCATCCTGCACGACCCATACCGTCCAAAGGTGGACCAGGGCCCGGAGCTGCGGGAAATGCCCTGGAATTGCCCTCTCCCCCGAGCGATGATGACAGGGAAGCTTGAAAAGAGAACAGGCTTCTGGGAAGGGAGGCCGGGCTGGAACCGAGCTGCGGTCCTTGGTTCCGCGAGAGGACGCCTGTCCCCCCCTCCCCCGCGAACCCACCCCCACCCTCCCCGGCAACTATCCGACACAGCTTTGCAAAAGTTGTTTTCAGTCGTGAAATAGCATTGCAATGGCAGTAGAGAAAGCCCTTACCTTGTTATACTCAACCCGATACATTTATAATACAACCTGATACATATATAATTACCAGACCGGTAAGTTTCTCCTGCATGGAACACAGAGCTGTTCATGTACGGAAAACAGAGAGCTGCTACATTTCCCTCACCACAGAGACTGGAAGGAAGACTTTGCCTGAGATTGATCCAGTTTATGAGGCTCTAACAGGGTAATGCCTGCTCTGAACTGGCCTAAGCCTGTGTTTCAGAGTAAGTTTGGGGACTGAAACGTTTCCTGGAATTGCTCTGGTCTGTGAATTATCCCATTTCACTAAAGGTACACAAAAGATTTCCGCGTCCTGTCTCTTCAGCTGCTAAAGCGAGGCTGAGTGCACAGGAGCTCAGGATGGGGACGAGGGTACTGTGTTTATTTAGCCAGTTTTCAAGGTCTCCTGCGATCTTACCTGAGGAGTGTTTCTGGAAGTTCGTCTAAAGACCTGGATTAGACATAATCAAGTCATCTGGTGCCCGGGAACTACCCACCCTTGAGTCATAGACACTCCCTTTATGCTGGTGGTAAAAAGAGAGGAGCGAAGGGGCCTGTTTAAAGCTAAACTTGCTTTTTCTACTTCATGTTTTAAATAGACCTTTTGCTAAGAATGTTCACTTTCTGAGAGTTTCAGATGATCTCTTTGTAATAATGTAACTAGCAGATAAAGCCTTAGAGTTGGGATATACTCTGAAAAGTATTAATATTATAAAATGTTAATAAAGATATTTAAGTTCAGCTCTAACACATTTATCTCACACACTAGGAAGCTGGCGAACTACCCACTCATCTACCATCACGCTTGCTCTTGGAGAGGAGGCATGCTGATCAACAGTAAATTAGCCACAGGGGGATTTCATATTGACCCCTGAATGCAGCCAAAATATGCAAAGAAAGAACCACCCTGGCGGTCCAGTGGTTAAGACTATGCGTTTCCACTGCAGGGGGCTTGGCTTCAATCCCTGGTCGGGGAACTAAGATCCCACACGCCGTGTGGTGCGGCCAAAAAAACGCGAAAAAAACAAAAAACAAACATAAAAAAAACACGAAAATATGCAAAGAAAGATGCATGAAATCTGCATCCAAGGCCTAGGACCCAAACTTGGTCCTTTGTGGATTTTCCGTATAGATCTTCAAAGATTCACACCTGAAGAATCTCCTACTGAACAATTATAACACAAGGGCCTGGAACAAGGCCGACTGGTCTGGAAAGAGCGGATGTGCTGAGACAGGGCGGGAGTTCCTGCCTAGGTTTGTGATTTAAGACGAGACAGTAGCATGTGAAAAGCAGTATCACATCACTATTTTCATCCATTAGCCACCGTTTTTCTAGCGTGTTGGCTCCTTATAAGTGCTGTACAGTTTTTGTTGTCCCGTGCGATATCCATTCCCCAGTTCAAAACACAAGACAGCCAAGGACAATGAGGTAAAAGTCCCCTAAAGTAACTTTCTCATTAGAACCTATAGCTCTTCGTGTCTGTTCTGTGTCTTCTCTCGGGTAGGTTTCTTTTCTGGCTGTGTTGGGTCTCAGCTGCAGCATGCAGGATCTTCCGCTGTGGCGCGTGGGCACCAGAGCACATGGGCTCTGTAGTTTGTGGCACGCAGGCTCTATAATTGAAGCACGCGTGCTCAGTAGCTGTGGCACGTGGCTCAGCTGGTCCGTGGCGTGTGGGATCTTAGTTCCCCGACCGGGGATTGAACCCATGTCCCCTGCATTGGAAGGCGGATTCTTTACCACTGGACCGCCGGGGAAATCCCCTCTCAGGTAGGTTTTCTATTTGAAATTGTAGAGTTTATTCTTATTCATCCATCAGACCTCAGCTAAAGTGTCATTTTCTCACTTTCCTCATCACATCAAGCCTCCCCAAAGTTCCTAAGGCAACAGGGCCCTGTCGCCTGGCCATGTCTGTGCTCTGGTCCTCCGTCCAGCTGGGAGAAGTGCCTCTCTGTCAGTCATCCTGTTCTGCCCTGAGCCTCAGGGTCTGGCTCCTCATTATTATTCAGGAAGAATGCTGAATAAATCATCCACTCATCCATTTATCAGCCATTCAACAAACATTTTCCGATAGGAGGGCAGGCACTCTGCTCACTGCCATTTTGCTACCCAGCCCTCAGGCCCCTCCAATCTGCTGTGAAACTAAAGTTGTTAGGACCACTCACAAAATGAGAGATCTGAGTAGGGATGGGGGGAGGGCTCCTCCAAGCGGAGTTTAGTGCAGGCGTCATTTCCAACAACAGC